ACCTTCTTGATTCAAATCGCCTGTATGATACATGCATGCAAAGCACAACAGAGACCAGGGAGGAGATGCTCAAACAAGTCATCTCTAGTGAATTTAAAAGCTTTCTTTCCCCTGGCCTGTTTGTCAGGAAAATAGAGTCAGTTTGCTTAGAGGCCTCCTTAACTGTGGATTCACACCAGAAGTGGGACTTCTCTGTGGAATCATGCAAGGCTTTGCTGAGGTAATAATTACCAAGGTTGTCCTGATTGTTGGACCTATAATTAAATGAAGATGGAAAGCCAGAATATTCCAGGTATTACCCCATGTGGCAAAACCAATCATGAACAATGAGCAAGTAGTTGTTGTGTGTTAGTAGGGCTTACTAAACAGACCCTGAAACAATAAAGGTAATCAAAACATGAGATTTTTTTTAAAGCCAATGAAACACAGAGAATGTTCATGTGCTGGAAAATAGGACTATTCATGCCTCCCTCATATGACTAAAGGAAGAAATGGTATGAGGTTTTCAGCACTTGACAACACTTTAAATTATTATCTCCAGGTCCATAAAATCTCTGAAAGCAAAGATCTTGTTTTAGTTAGGACTCTGTATTTGGTCCAAGAGTGATTGTTGACTTATTATAGACCCGTAACAAACTTTTATTAAAAGGCTGGATGATAAAAAGTGATTAACAAGTAGTTTTAAAAATGAAAATGTTGAAATAAAAGGCAACAAACTGGAGAGAAAAGACTAAATTCTAGTTAAATATAGTAAATAAGTATGTAGAAATACAGGCACACCAGTTTCAAATCTTTAGAATTAGCAGAAAAAGGGCCTTGAAGGAAAGTCAAATTTCTGAATCACCTCAGGAAATGATTTCTGATGTTCTGCATTATGAGTCTGAGGGCACTATCCCATGGTGAGACTAAAGACTATTCTCATGAGAACACAATACAAGCATAGATATGTGCCACAAGAAAGCCAGTGATGAAACGATTCCACATTACTCCATGCCTCTAATTCTAGTTAGAATTGACCATCTGCAGGCAGTAAAAGGACAGACCCTTGTCCCATGAACACTAGAGCAGCTCAACCCTCTATCTGCATACTCTTATTTACACGCATCTCTGATGTGTTTATACGGTTAGAGTCAGTTGCTACTGGATACACTTTTTAAGATTTTGTACTGGTTGGCCCAGTACTCTGCCTCAAACACTCAGACCTAATGATTTGACCATTCAAGGCTTTTAAGATAATGAGTTAGGTTTTGCGGGAATGGTAACTTGTCAAATTGAACAACTCAAAACTCAACCAAATATGAAATTATGGCTTTTAGAGTTATTAACAACTAAATAAAAGATAGAAAAGCATCGTTGAAAGTACCCAGGTCAACACTGCAGTTCTGAATAGGGCCTGGGATATGACTTTTCATAAAATTGAGATTTCAATAAGAGGTTAATATGAGATTATTGTCAAAGTCAACATCATCTGGTGTTCTTGGAAGGCTATAGACTTCTTTTTGATGAGGTACACATAACATCACTCAGAGCACATTAAATATTAGGTTATATAGAGCTTAAAGCAAAGCAAAGTGAAATGACTTGTATGGTTTTTGAAAAATGAGTCACTAAAGGCTCCAGAAATTGAAGTCTAGACGGAGTGAGTGAATAAAGCCGGCAACAACAGAACCAGTAATTGCCATGGGCTGTGACAGTGCCGTCTGCACCATCTGTGCTGCTAGGGAGGCTATGTCAAGGGCTAGCTCAGAAGGGCACGTTCCCTTCTGCAGGTCTGCTTTCAGGCTCAGAATGAGCCACAGATTGTCTGTTTGATGCCATTGTATAGGAACGAACTTTACACAGAGCAATTATTCACTTTATAGTTGCCCCAAACTCTCTGGGGCTCCCACAGATGCTGCTACAGTGTAAATATGAGCTCTGCTCCTCCTCATCAAGTTAGGAAACATCTCAAAGCAAAGACAAAGCTTTTGCTTGTATAGTATTTCCATATCGATTCCAAAGGGAATAGAGTCTCTAAAGTTCTTACCAACCAGAAGGCATTGTCCTTAGCATTGAGTGGCCCACACTGTGTATACACACCTCATACAGAGCCCTGTACATAGTAGGTACTCCATAATCTTTGCTGAATTAAATGTGCTGAAATTCTTGGAACAAGTAATATTAATCTCTTCCTCAGAATTTCTTTGGAGAAAGTGATTCTTTATTGATTCAGTTTTCTCTCTCCCCTTCCTCCTTTTCCACTTCCTCTTCTTTCAGAGTGTTCTAGATACTCACATGCACCACCATACTATTTGTTGATAGTTATTGCCAAATTCTTTGTTTTTTTTTTTTCTGGTCGACTTTGTAAGATTTATTTTATTTCTATTCAGCATCAGTAGAGCTATAGTTCAAACATCACTCACCCCAATCATTTTACTGCCCATCACAAAGCACTTCCTTTCTCTAACAGGCTTGGTAGCAACAAGGCCGGGGTGTCAGGAGGTCTACCATCCAGCACTGCTTTCCTCCAGAGTAACTCACCATTTTCATAGCAGTTCCTCATCAGACTCTTGAGAACTCCCATCTTCTAGGTCTTCTCATCTCAGTGAGACAGGTTGGAACTTTCCATAAGTTTTATAAATATTGAAAGGAGAATAAAGGACATCAGAGTGTCCCATGCACATTAAATTAAACAGATTTAGAGGTTTTTTTAAATATATTTTAAAATTGTGTATGTGTGTGTCTATGTGTGGGTATGAGTATGTGAGTGTAGTGCCTGTAGAGGCCAGAAGAAGGAATCGGTTTCCCTAGAACTGGTGTTACAGATGGTTGTGAGCTGCCTGATGTGGGTCTGTGAACTGAACTCAGTTTCTCAGCAAAAGTAATACTTGCTGTTAACCACTTGTGATGGCTATTCTTGCTTGTTAACTTGACTGCACCTGAAATTAACTAAAACCCCAAAATGGCACATTTGTGAGGGGTTTCTGCTTAACTTGAAGTGGGAAGATTCACATCTAATCTGGGTCTTTGAGATAGGAAGATACAGTTTTAATCCAGATCACTTGAGCTGGAAAAAGACACACCTTTAATCTGTATCTTGAGGAGGAAAAACTCAATATTAATCTAGATCTTTTGATCTGGGAGAATCCAACTCTAACCTGGGCCACACCTTCTGCTGGCAGCCTATATGAGGACATGGAAGAAAGAAGCTTCTGCTCATTGCCTGCTTGCCCTCACCTTGCTAGCAAGTCCATCCCTTCACTGGCATTAGAACGTACTTCTTCAGGATTCCAGCATATACTGAAGACCTGACATCCAGCCTTGTGCACTGAGCAACTACTGTATTCTTGGACTTTCTGGCCATTGCTGGCCATTGTTGAATTAGCTGGACTGCAGCCTGTAAGTCATTCTAATAAAACATATATATATGAGAGAGAGAGACACACAGAGAAAGAGAGAGACAGAGAGAGAGAGAGGAGAGATTCATTCTATGAGTTCTGTTACTCTAGCGAATGCTGACTAATACTCCCTGAATCATCTCTCCATCCTTCAGTGATTTATAACATGCTAAAATTTCCAAAGGAGAGAGAGCCTGAGATTTATTGCGGATGTGGATATAGATGGTAAGAGCCCTTCATTACTAGAGAAGTCGGCTTCTAGAATGTTTTTAAAAACATAAAAGCTGACATGAATCTAAGGCCTCCTGGCACAAATTTTCTCTCTAGGGCCTTGTCTGGTGTCTCTCTGACACTGTTTAACTACACTAGCATCTCAGTCTTCCCTGCCCCCGCCCCCAGACTTCTATGCATGCCCTGTCACTCAGGCACCAGGGTGTTGTCAGGACCATCTCAAGCTGCTGACCCAGGGCAAGGTCATTGCTCCATCCAGCTTCTTACTCTGTTTTGCCCTTGCCTTTCTGCAAGAAATCTGTAGTTTCCCGAGATGTTGGACTGTAAGGCTGATCAGAGAGTGTCAGGCTATGTTCTCTATCTCCGGTCTGTGCTGGGAGTCATAAACCTGCTGTGTTCTAATAAACCACTGGCTTTGGTCAACGGATGGTCAGGTTGCATGGCTGACAGGCTAGGGTCATAGGAATAAGTCCTGTTTCTCTTTCTTTCCATCACTAAGCTGAAGGACACCAAGGGCAGATCAATGGCTATTTATATTAGACTGTTTTTACCATTGGATACCAACAATGGCTTTTAAAAACATATAACATAATTTCTTTATTGTTTATTTGAGAATTTCACATCGTGCACCCCAATTCCACTAATTTCCCAATCCCTCCATATCTGCTCTTCACCCTTGAACCTCAAAAGAAAATTAAAAAAAAAAAAACCAACCTAACAATAAACCTCTTTACTTCATCCCTCCATCTGTCCTGCCTCTCCAATGCCTCTTCTATCATCTTAGTGGCACTAGGAGCCTCAGTATGTCACACAGTATATCCTTTTGTCCAATCATCTTTCCTTGCAAATGTTCATTGCAACGAGTCATTGGTCTGGTTCAAGGCCTCTGGGTTCATCACTGGACCCTCATTAAGACTCCTCTTGGATATCCCTCTGCCACCTGAGTCACAGAGATCTTGTTCCACAGACCTTCACACACTCCAGCAGGTCAAAGATGGGATAGATATTAGGGTGGGCCAATCCAAGGCCCAGGATGTGGATCTGGGGGGTAGCTGAGCTGGTCAGTCTGAGCCACTGGGGCTACCCCCCCTTAAATGAGGGGTGGGACCAGTTCTCCTATGCCCATGTCACCAGTTCTCCCACACCATGGTGAGAGGTAGGGCCATCTGGGCCATCTCTCCCAAGTAGGGGGGAACAGCTCTCCTGTGAGAGTCAGGACCAGATTTCTTGCTGCAGTGTCCAGCAAAGGGCAGGGACAGAGAAGGGCAGGACTGGCTTCAGCATGGCCCTCTGATTTCATCACACATGGTTTCTATGGAACCCTGTGGTAACAGGGGCCACAAACATCAACACAGACCCCAACTGCATTAGGACCATGGACCTAGACATGGCCCTTGCCCAAAGCTTGGGGAGGCAGCACAGGCCACTCAGATCAGCGTGGCTCTGGTGACAGCATGGCCCTCAGAACAATGGCTTTTTTATGGGTAATTATTGAAGACATTTTACTCAGAACATTGCTTTGGGTCCTAGAATTGGGGAAAGTGAGTTGCAGAGGAAGAGGAGCATTCATCAGGACATAGGGGTTCCCAGTGTTCACTGGGACTTATTCAAGGTAGAATGAGCTATTCTCTTTAACTTAATGCAAATCAATCTAGTATCTTTTACCACTTGAATATCTTGAAAATAACTAAGTTCATATTTCTATAACAGATATTATACTTAGATGTCCATATTTTGTCCTTCTATACTTTTTATTGTTGCCAATTTCCAATGATTGGCAACAGGTACCAGTCAGGCCTGCCCTGACTTCTCTTTCTTCTAGCTGATGCTCTGTTACTGATACAGAAGCAATAGAAACACATCAACCGAAATTTTTTTAAAAAAATTATTTATATTTAATGTATATAGGTGCTTTGCCCAGCATGTATATCTATGTATCGCTTGTTGCAGTGCCTACAGAGGCCATAAGAAGACATTGGAAAGCCTAGAATTGAAGTTACTGATGCTTGTGAGCTACCATATGGGTACTGGGAACCAAACCTAGGTCCTCTGGAAGAACACCCAGCTCTCTGAGCCATCTCTCCAGCTGCCAGCAATTTTTTTTTAAATAAAGCACTTTTGTAATTTGAGAAGTAGTGAAGCCACAGAGAATAGGAATCCCTTCAGGTGGTTGATATAGAGAAAAGGATCCTGGAGAAGCAAATGGCCAACATTTGACAAGGAATATGGAACAGAGGGAGCTCATTGGTGGAGCCTGGTTTTTGATGCTCTGAGAGCTCCGTCTCAGGGTCATTGTCAAACAGTATTTCCTCATGTGACTGGCTGTAGAGTGGGCTGCCATGAGCTACTTCTGCTTGGAACTCCTTTCACCTGAGAAATGTTCATGTGACCCAGGATACACAGCTACACGAGCAGGCAAAACCAAAATGAGATGGGTGTGCTCATGTATTCAACTTTATTTGTATCTTTGTCTGTGATGCATGTCTGTGTGGATGTCACATGTGCTGGTGACTGTGGAGACCTGGAGAAGGCATACAATCACTTGGAGCTGGAGTAAGAGGCCATTATGAACTGCCTGATGTGGATGCTAGGATTGGAACCTGAGTCTTTTGCAAAAACAGTAAGTGCTTTTAACCACTGAGCCGTCTCTCCAGACCTTGCCTATTTATTTTCTTATAAAGAATTAAATCTTAGCTAAATATTTGATACTGCAAGACATAGAGCATCTTCAGCATTTCTCAGAGTCAGTCACCCGTAATACCACTTTTCATGTGTTTTTTATAGAATGGCTGAAATATATTTAGGAACATTTCAGAAATTACTAGAAACTCTGTCCTAATCTCAACCCAAATTTCATTTAACAATTTTTTTGTGTAACCCAAACAGGAAGTTTTAGATAAAATATTTTAATACAATTGAATAAAATATGCTAATTTGATATTTGCATGATGAGGAAGGGGTGTGGGAAAGCAGAGGTCTGTTTTTCTGTAATTAAACAATTACGCTTATTAAACAGTAGAAACCTTTGCACATATAGTAAAAACACGGCAATTCTTAATGTATGATAGTTTCAAACCTGCACTGAAGTATTTGGAGGTAGCACTGACTCCAGTTGAATAATATCACCACTGGTACCATGTGAAGTGGGCATGTTTTATGTTCAGAACCCAGGCTGCAGTGAAGTCACGTGATACAGCACTCATGAATGTTTCCAGGGATACCTCAGATCCATGACACTTCTGAGTTTGAATTCAGTTTTGGCCATTGCCTATCTTGAAAATTGTTCTTTAGCCAAATTTTTATGATCTGCCCCTATTCATTTACACAACCCATCTCAGATGAGATGGGGACCCATCTCAGAGTCTAAAGAGCTGTGGGTTAGAGGTTTGTGTCTGTTTAGGTGTCAGGGCCTGAAATGTTTCCTTTGTTGATGTGTGTTAACAGATTCTCTTGTATTAACAGTTGGTGTTAACCTAGCCTTTAGAATAGGTCTTCCAGCTGGACGATGATGTGACTGGCTGGTCCCACAGTTGTGTGACTGGGCTGGGTAGACAGTATCTATCCTAAGACTCCAAGACGGAGGGAGAAGACCTGATAGAGTGGTAGATGGTAGTGGTAAAAATGTGTGGCTTTCTTTTCAGGATGTCTTCTGAGAGGGAAGGCTGGGAAAGAGCTGAAGAAAGGAAAGCCAAAGAATGCTCAGGTAACAGTGCCCTCTTCAGATAGTTCAGGATGTCACTGTGCCAAGAAGGCCCAGGGAAGCTTATCTCCTCTCCTCCTTCCTTTTACCAAAAAACCCTCGAAACAGGATTTGAGTACACAAGAGGTTAAGTAGACATTGAAATTTTGGTTTGAGGATTTAATCACCACACGAGCTATTGCTCCCATGAGAGCTATAGTCTAATTCTCACACAATGGACTGAGACATGAAGCTCTTCAAAGTAACTGATTGTTGACTTCTCTAGTAGCCTCACAAAGAAATAGCGGGTATTCAAGTCATGATGGCTCCAGTTAGGATTATACCTGGATTCCTGACCTCATCAATCGAACATTTGGATCCTTGTGGGTTTGTGGCAATAAACTCAGTATATGTTGTTTCTTATGCAATTTTTAAGTTGGCTTTGAGGAAAAGCTACCTGCTATCCTAACATCATAAAGTACATTGTGAAAAACAAGTTTAAATAATGCAATTATAAAGAACTTACAAATGGGTTAACTTACTCAGGGCCAGACACATACAAAAAGCTACAGCCCTCTCTGTGTGATCTGCTCCAAGAAGCTTGTAATATTTTGCTGGAGACACATCCCTGTCTTTCCTAAGCCATCCTACTGAAATACCAGCATTGATTCTTGTGTTCTTAGGTGTGTGCATTGTGGACACTGGCTCCTTAATATATCACACCCCACAATGCCTGTCTTCCTAACTCCTAACTCAGGATGAGGTGAGATGATGCATGTTGTAGCTAGAGTTTTCCTGCCTTGCCCACAGTCAGGACAAATCTCTGTCACCCGCCAGTCCCACAGCCGCTCAGACCCACCAAGCAAACACAGAGACTTATATTTCTTACAAACTGTATGGCCGTGGCAGGCCTCCTGTTAACTGTTCCTATATCTTAAAGTAACGCATTTCTACAAATCTATACCTTGCCACGCGGCTCGTGGCTTACCAGCATCTTCACATGCTGCTTGTCCTGGCAGTGGCTGGCAGCGGCTGGCAGCATCTCCTTCTGCCTTCCTGTTCTTTTATTTCTCCTCCCTGTTAGTCCCGCCTATACTTCCTGCCTAGCCATGACCAATCAGGTTTTATTTATTGACCAATGAAAGCAACTTGACATACAGACCATCCCCCAATACAGCCAAGTGCAGACCATCTCAGACACCTGCACTCAGGCCCATGGTCCTAATCATCCTCTATGCAAACCTGCTGGGTAACGCCACAAGGAACCCAAGAAGGGCTCCCACAGGACATACATTAACATCCCACAGCAGTATGTTCTTTAAAGTCCAAAGTATTATGAAAGCAAAAGTCTTGCCCTTGTGCCCAGGGACATAAAAAATAAGAATGATAACAACTTCTGAGTGATAGAATGATTTTAATTATTGTCTTACTTTCTTTGTTGTTTTCTTGGCTTTTATTTTGCATTGCTTGTCTTGTAGTCAACTGCATAAAAGTTGTTTCATTTCTCTGAAAGCTAAGTGTGTATGTATATGCGTATGGATGCATGTGGGCATATCTGCACACGTGTGTGTACTCATGGATGTACATATATGTGTATAGATGTCTTTTTCTGTGTACATCTATGCATATATACATGTTTGTTTGTGGGTGTGTCTTAGTCTTATTCCATAAAAGGCAAAACCAATGTTTTATTTTTGCTAACATAATTTTAAGGAGTGAATCCCAGGGAAGAGGAAGGAGTGGTGTGAGGCAGAGAGGGAGAGCAAGCAAACACTGAGCTTGTTGCCCTCCATGAAAAAAGATACAGCACTACAGTTTCTCAACAGTCTCTTCAGATGATTGAAGTGGCTTCCACAGCCCATTGATGAAAACTCACCTGCACAGCCTGTTTATCCCTTGCATTCCTCCGCTACACATCTGGACTAGTGCACACCTGAGACTATGAAGCCACAGCAACTGCAGCAAGGAAGAAGTAGGGTCCTAGCAGGCCCCAGGAGGAGGATGCACCCACGCTGACGGAAGGGAGACAAGTGAAAGCTCTCGGTGTTAAGCAACTAAGGGTCTGGAATGAGACATGAAACACACACAGGACAAAGCGGGTCCTGTAAGGAAGGTCCTTTAGACAATGTCTGCTGCCGCTTGTGTGGAGTGCACTTTTGGAAAGGGAGGCTATTTTTGTTCCTAGTACTGCAGAAAGCTGTACTGAAGCCAGCGGTAATGAAGATAATTAGACGTATGAAGCTGATCAAATCTCGACTTGTAATGAACACTCTTGAGTAGTGGCAGGCTTGATGTGAATCTGAATTTCATGTAAAATACAAGGGGGTGGGGACAAGAATTATACAGAGAAGGGGCTGGAGAGAAGCTCAGTGATGAAATGTGCGTGCTGCTTTTCCAGAAGACTTGGGTTAAGTTCCCAGCACTCCTATGGAGTGGGTGGCTTTCAGTTTCCTGCGACTCCAGATTCATACACATGTGGTATACAGACACATACACATAAAGAAAAATTAAATGTTGAAACAAGAGAGAGAGAGAGAGAGAGAGAGAGAGAGAGAGAGAGAGAGAGAGAGAGAGAGAGAATATGCCAGAGAAGATCAGCTAAAAACGTAGAGGGAAATGTCTCCAAAGAAGGAGGCAATAGAGTTGTAGTGTGGCTAAGCTTCCTCAAGTCATAGAGCTACAATTTACAGAAAATGTGTGTATTACTCATGATTCTCTAGAAGTAGACATGATATATATCTGGAAGAGTTATATCTGGTGATAAGCTCACGCTGAAAGGCCAGAAAGATGGAGTGCGGTGTCTCTGGATGACTGATGTGGAGACAGACACACTCAGGAAGGAAAGGGAGTTGCCTCTGTTTGCTGACTGCCTTCTTCTTCCCCCATCTCCTTTCCATTTGGGACCCCAGGCCATTTGATGATGATGCCCATATTCAGCACAGCTCTTTACCTCCTCTGCCCAGTCACTGTCCTATCACCCCACTTCCCGGAATTGTTCCTACATAAATATTCACAGCTATGTCTTCACAAGCCTTAGAGTAAGGTAGTTTAAGGTTGAGCCAGGAGGCAAGCAGAGTCCTATGTGTTTGACAGGTGCACAGCTGAGGACTTCTCAGGTTGAATTGATAATAGCAATTTAGAAACTAATCAATGTTGAAAAAAAAGAAAAGAAGGGGAAATTGAGGTAGGGTGTTGATGGATGTTTCTTGTCCCGACTGCCCAGTCCCAAATAACTGACTCAGAGGCTGAACATGAATTATGAATGTTTGACCCATAGCTCAGACTTATTATTAACTTGCTCTTACATTTTAAGTTAACACATATTCCTCATTTATTCTCTCTCATGTGGAAGTACCTTTATTAGCATGGTATGTTCATCTCCTGTTCTCTCTGAATCTGCTGGCAGCTCCCGACTCTACCCTTCTCCTTCCCATCATCCTTAGTTTGGTCACGCTACCTGTACTTCCTGCCTGGCTACTGGCCAATCAGCATTTTATTAAACCAATTCAAGTGACAAATCTTTACAGTGTACAAAAGGATTATTCACAGCAGTAAGGTGCTTTTTAGGTCTGATGCATACTGTTGTTAGCTGGAGTGGAACATAGACTCCTGTTGTGCAGCATGGTCGATACACTAGGGAACCAAAACCAAGATGGCCACTGTGCAGGAAGAATGCTATTACAATGTGGGGGCTGGGATCTATCTCAGTGGTAGATCATTTGCCTGCCATAAGCAAGGATGCAGGCTTGATTCTAACACATACCACTATTACCTCTACCACCACTACAACTACCACAGCCGCCAAAGAAACCTAAAGAAGGCTGAAGAGCTGATTCACTTGGTAAAGTAAGTGTCTTCCAAGCATGAGGACAGAACCTATGTGAATAGCTGGAAGAGGTGGTGTGCATTTGTAATCTCAGCTGTTATGAGAGGGGAGGTGGAGACAGGAGGATCCCTCTAGTTTACTGGGCAGATGCAATAGCCCACTTGGCAAAGTCCTAGACCAATGAAAGACCCTACTTCAAACAAAAGATGGGAGGTAGAAGCTACTTGAGGAATGATACCCTAGATCTGACCTATACACACACACACACACACACACACACACACATCCCTTTCTACAAACACACACATAAACATACAACACGAACCCATGAAGAATATCATGTGGCTCCAAAATGTGACCTCAGCAGTCTGTCCCCACCTCTCTTTAACTGTCTGATGCATGATCACTTTACTCACATTTGGTTGCCTGGGCCTTGGAAGGAGTATTGTCTATGAGTCTCAGTGGAGGGCAATTTTCACTCAGCTTGAGGCCCTGGGACTAGTGGAAGCAGGGGAGCAATAACAACAAACAGTTTTGTGGCACGCTAAACCTGGATTTCTGACAGTGAATGGATGAATGTTAAATGCAGAAATAAATGATAAGGCAAAAATCCTGATGACACAGGATTTGTGTATGAAAAGACCAAGGGGATGTCTACCAGCATTGAAGAACCACTAAGTGGCATTTGTATTTGCTCCTGGGGTCTAGGTCATTTTTCAGGGCTTATAACTTGACTATGAACATATATTCATGGTGTTTAAATCCAAACCCAAGAACAATTTGTTTTAAAAAATTCAAACTTATCATTCCCAAACTCATTCTGGCACCCTTTTGGGGCTTGATGAATTGTTTCAGAGATGTTTATTGCTTTTAAACCTGTTTTATTGCCAAGCTTGCAGTCTGCAAACTGCTTTGAATTTTGTCACAATGGTGAGTGATTAGGCCGTGACATGGCATTAAAACAGAAGACAGCAAAGAAGTCTAAATGGATTAAGAGAGAATGGTACTTTTTATGTAGTTAGGCTGCTTTTCGGAATTAAAATATGCCTCCTCTGGGTTCGTTTTTTCCATTGCATCATATAATAAGCAAGAACATGGCAATGTTTTTTTAGAGGGGGTGGTGGTGACGATTTGTTACATGTCAACTGCAACATTGAGCGTTTCAGATGGTTTTCAGCTGGGAACATCAAGTTCTGAACAAATTTCTGAGTCAGCACCTGTGGAATAGATATTGCTGTGTTTGGTCATTGATTGAACAGTAGGTAGAACTGATGCTCTTGACATTGGTTTAGCTTCCTGTGACAAAGACAAGTGGCTCAGAACATGTGGGTGCTTCTTGAGCCAAGAGCCTCTTTAAATGTCAAAGTCATTGTCAAGCATGGATTGCCTTTCAAAAGTGTAGCTGTTCAACTTGATGCCTCCTCCTAAGTTCTGATTGCTAGTTGCCTTTAGTCGTTCTGATTGTTAGGTCTGCAAATTAAACCAGGCGAATCAAGTAAAAGCAGGTGAGCTATTATCAAGTATCTGGGATTTCACAGAACAGAAATGCGTGAAATCAGCCACACTGCAGTGAAGACTGTAATGTGGGAAGCAGTGAGCCGCGGGAAACCCACACAGTCCCCATTCAGGCTTTCGACTACTGCCCATACTGAGCCTTGATTGGTCTCTTTCCACTAAGACCCATTTTCTGCTCTTTCATCTCCAGGGTGCAAAGTGGCCATTCTTAGCTGTCACACGTACACATTTTGGTTTGTGTCACCACCTCTGTACATCCATATTAGTCATCAGTTACTGTGTACCAAGTTGCACAAAACTTGATGGCTTAAAGTGACAGGCTCCTATTACGTCACATGTAAGATGGATTGGGAACCCAGGTGTGGGTTTCTAAGCATCACTTCTTCAACATCTCACCTATCCACATTGGCAATCCAAGTGTTGACTAGGCTAGGGCTGCAGACTCTTGTGTGCTCCTAAACTGACTCAAGGGGGGTGGTTCTGAAGGATTTAGTTCCTTGTAGATTGTTGGAATCATTGTCTGAGAACTCTTTCAACTCCTTGCAACCTGGTTCTCTCCACAGGTCAAGACCTGGCGGTCGCCACTTGTTGGTGTCACAGTGAGTGAGTGAACAAGATTAAGAAAGTGACGTCAAGAGCAAGATGAATCATAATCTTGGAAGTGGCTCTTCATTGTGCAATTTTACCTCTTCTGTCCTCTAGGAAGTGATCTACTACCTTCTGCTTCTACTAGAGATGATACATCCCAGAGCAGGCGGTGTCACAGAGGTTGCTTTTGTCCTTGTTTTCTCCCCTTTCCATGTTGTCCCTCTCACAATTCCAGATTAATTGGCACAGGCCTCTAACTGACTCAGTCTGGGTCAGGGACTTGCTCCAGTCATCTGTTGTGGAGGCCGCAGTCACAGGATATGTAGTCTCCTGGTTTTGACAGTCATAGTGAAACATGAAGGGGACCATACTGGAAAGTATCAAAGAACATGGAGCAGAGTAGACTCATAATATGACCACAAGCTCACTCGGCCTGTCTTTCCTCACAGGAATGGAATTTCTCAGCAGGCCACATCTCTGAAAAAACTAGTTTTAATCACATAGTTTATTTGGCATAATTCAAGTCTGACATGATAGTTCTAAAGCACATATGCGACCGTGTTTATCAGCTTCTTGGCACCGTGAAAAAAATGTCTGAGGGAGTCAGCTTTCAAAGAGGAAAAACTTATTTTGGTTCACAATTTGGGAGACTCTAGTTCAAGATAGACAGGTGCATCATTTTGGAGGTTTAGGTGAGGTGACAGATTGTAGAGGAAGTGCAGGAGAGGGGGCCTATTCAACTTCCGGAGGACATAAGGAAAAGAGAGTGGAACAAGCCAGAATTCAAATGCCTCCTTTAAGGACGCTCCCACCAGTGACCTAACTTCCTCTACCAGGCCTCATCCCTTAAATGCCCCACCAGTTCCCACACGGTGGGCTGTGGAGCCAGCCCTAGCACAAGGGCCCCGAGGGAATATTTCAGCTCCCAACTACAGCAGTGACTAAGGCTGAAGTGGGCTTTGAAAAGAGATTTATTTTTGTTTTACATACATGGGGGTTATGCTTGCTTGTCTGTGCACCCCCATACATGCATCGCGTACACAGGCTGGAAGAAGGCATAGAATCCCTGGGTACAGGTAACTGTCAACCACCACGTGGGTGCTTTGAATCAAACCCAGATTCTCTCCAACAAATCACAGAGCACTCTCAAACACTGAACTTTCCAGTCCCCTAAAGTGGTCTTTTCAGAATCTATTCCACATGCTATTATCATTTATATTTAAAAAACTTTAAGTTGTGGATAAACCCATGTAAGATAAGATTTAATAATCATAACCATTTGTAAGTGTACAACTCAGTGGTATGGATCATGTTTGCACTGTTGTGCACAGCATCGTTACCATTTATCTCCAGGACTTTTTCATCTTCCCACACTAAAACTCCACAGGCAGGTAACAACTCTCCATTTCACTATCTTCTGGCCCCTGTGGCCTCCAGTCTCTGCGTCTGTGAGCATGACAGCTATACATATCTCACAGATGTGGTAGGGCACAATATCTGTCCTTCTGTGATTTGCTGCTTCTACTTAAGAGATTCTCTTTTGTGTTCATTCCTGTTCCATTTTTAAAGCCTTCATTTTTAAAGTCACATAGTCTGTTCTGCGTACATATAACTACAACCTGTTTGCTCATTCACCTGTCCGAGGGTCATTTCCACCTTTTGACTGCTTCAAATCAAGTGCCTGTATAATGGGCATACATATACATGAGTTTTACATTCTTTGAGTTCTATATCCAGAGACAGTATGGTAATTTTCCAGTATATTATTGAAGAACTGCTATTCTGGATTCCATAATGGTCATATTATTTTTATATTACCGCCAGCAGTGCCAGGATTATGATTTTCTGTCTCCTTGCCAATACTTGTTCTCCATAGTTTGCACCTGCAAATATGTTTGTGTGATATCCTTCCCAGTAGGTGAAAAGTGGTACATTGTGGTTTTGATATATAGTGCTCTTCTTAATATCACTGAACATCTCTTCATGTGCTTAATCTGCCATTTGTGCTTTGTGGGATGAATTTCTGCTTGAGTCTTTCTGTTGCTGTGATAAACCACCCTGATCAAAAGCAATTTAGAGAAGGAATGGATTATTTCTCCTCACAGGTTACAGTAGACCATTAAGTGAAGTCGGAGCTCAAAGCAGAAACAGAAGCAGAAACCATGGAAGAATGCTGCTTCCTGGCTTGCTCCCTCTGGCCTGCTCAGCTACTTTTATTATGCAGCCCAGGCCTACTAGAATAGGAGTGGCACTGCCCACGTGGACTGGGCCCTCATATATCAATTATCAACTAAGAAAATGCCCCGTAGACATCATAGCTATGGCCATGGGACAGTCTGATCTGGGCAATTTCTCTACTGAGCATCTGTCTTCACAGATGACTCTGGGTTTGTGTCAAGTTGACATCTAATGCTCTCTATGACAAGCCCTCTATTTGCCCATGTGGTAAGAATTCATTAAAAAACTTACAGGCCAGGGATTACAGGCCTCAGGCCTGGCTAGCTTAGTTGGTAGAGCATGAGACTCTTAATCTCAGGGTCATGGGTTCAGGCCCCACACTGGGTGCCAATTGTAGACAAATTTCTAAATAGTCTTATTAAATAAGAAACACAGAGCCAAATACAGGGGTGCAAGCCACAGAGATCAGAGCAATACCTGCCAACTAACCTTAGCTCACCACATCGCCATAGCTTCCCAAAGGAGCCTCTTCCTGTCTAACCTGTGCCTTTATTGCCTTGCTGTCCTGCCCTCTCATTGGCTCTAAGCCCAGCCACCTCACTTCCTCATCACTGCCTGTCTATACAGACCTCCAGGTCTCTATGACTGGTACTGGGATTAAAGGCTCGTGTCACCATGCTTGGCTGTGTCCTTGAACACACAGAGACTCTGCCTGCCATGTGATCAGATTAAAGGCATGTGCTAACACCACCTTATTTCTGTTTATGGCTGGCTATGACCTCTGATCTCCAGGCAAACTTTATTTATTAACATACAAATAAAATATCACATTTCAGCACAAATGAAATATTACCACAATGTTTAAACTCCTTCTGTCTTTGCCACATTTTTGGAGTTCTTTGTATATTCTAGTTGTTAACCCATTGTCAGTTATAAGATTTTCTTCTATTCTGCAAATCAGTTTTACCCTTGTGACAATGTCATTTGACGCATGGTTGTTTTCAGTGTTTTTATGTAGTCCCCTTCAGTTTTTCTTTTGCTACCTCTACTGTCGCTGTGGTACACAAGTAACTATCAACAACGATAATGCCACTTAGGTCCCCTTTTAGTTTTCTTCCAAGAGTTTTATGGTTTTAATTCTTACTGAGATATTTGAATCATCATCTTTCATAGATCAGCCCTAAGATCCTAGAATGGCATTGACTTCACATTCTTTGGTTAAGTGTACAATCCACCGTTTTTATTCTAAGGCATAGAGGAGAAAGCATTGCCAGCACCTCCATCCTCCTAAGATATCTGAGAACCCCAAACACACACAAAACTTAACAGGCATTTAATTTTCCAATCATTTCACAAGGTGTCTCAGTCTGTCTGGTGGGTCATTATAGTATTACAGAAAACATGAACTCCAGCATAATGTAGCAAGTACAGTTAAAAGCTCTGGAAAGGCTTATTAACATAAGTATGGCTTATGTGAGCTGACTCCTCACTGTGTTTAATGGAATCTGTTTGCCACGATAACACCAGTGTTCTGATACGCAGCAAATGCCTGGAATCCTGATCATGCTCCATTCCATTTATCTTCCCTTTGCTAATCCTGGTTTGTTTCACCACTCAAATCTTCTCCTATGCATCATAGGTATTTATCACACACCTGATCTTTGCATACTCAACAGTGAGAAAAAGAAAACATTTTCCCATAACACAGGGCATTAATCAGAGCAGCCCCTGTATGAAGACAGCATCCCTCTCTGGCACCTGTGGCTCTGTTGCTGTGGGAGTCAGTGGAAACCTCACAGGTGACTGAGTGGATGTATTATATTAAATTGCTGGCTTTTTATATTTAATTGAGGCCCTGGGATACCAATTCTGGGCTATCCAGCTTCAGTCAGAAAATTGAGAAAGACCCTAGAATGGCTTTATGGGTTTTGTGCCTCGAGTGATTCACCCAGGGCTGGATGAACAACAGCCAGTGGGAAAAGCTGGTAATTTGTGGCTCCTCAGGCTGGTGCAAGCTGCTTCCCAGGCTTGGCTGGGGCTGAGAAAGTCAAGGTGTGGCATTTCCTTTCTCAACAGACAGTACTGTGGTATGTGACAATGTCCAACAATTGAAAGCTGCCCGGGGCCATTGCAACCCATCCAGCTGCCATCCCAAATCATACTCTGACAGTATGCAGGAGACAGAATAGGCCCACTTGCTGTAGAAACAGATCCAAATATGACAGTTCAAAACAAGAGAAATCTTTTTTTAAAAAGAAATGAACTTGGACACATCTCAAATAAAAATATCTCTTAACTTTCAGGGTATTTCCATGAAAACCTAGAGGTCACTTTGTATTGTTATTAAGGCAGTGGAAGTGAATTCCCTTGGGAATGGAATAGACTTGTTTCTTTGTCCTGTGATATGAGAAAGTGATTTTAGCCAACATATGCCAGGAGAACTCAGCAGTAAGTAGCAGAGAGGAAATGTTCCCTCATAGTTCTGGCTTTATGTTCTCTCTTGATCTAGCTTTGCATCTGTGACTGGTCCAGAACTCTGTACCCTTTTGCTTTGACTTCTGAAACACTGGGTTATAGGCTTGTACCACTACATCCAGCTGAACTCAGTTTTCTATTATATCTACATTACCAATTACATTATTTGTGCATACCTCCACTATAGAAATAGCAATCTTTAGGCTTTTCAGCCTAAATAGCTCATTAGGATTTCAGCTTACAATATTTTCATAGACAATTCATTATTTCTGATGAATTCACACTATTTACAACTGTGTGGTGATGCTGTGTGGTAGTGAAATATATGGGTTCAGGTGGCCCATCCATTATAAAATCCCATTTTAGCTGCTTATTAATGTTCTCACACACAGAAATATATCAGTCCCTGACACCCCATTTTAAAATATGATAATCAAAGCCATTCTTTAGAGATATTAAATAGTTACGCAGTTTTATTCAGTTCTTCTTATTCCACTCAAGACTGGGGAATTAGTAGAAATGAGTTCAGATGTGACATGTAGAGAGTCTTGGGTGATTTGGATGAATGGTGAATCACCTCTGCAGGTTCTGATGGAGACTACTTGGCTCCAAAAGAGGTGAGAACACAAAGGTGCATGCAGTTAGAACAATGTGGGAAGCAGAAGTTGCTTTGCATTTTGTTTGCCTGCCTAGCAAAGATTCCCTCTCTTTTCTCCCACATCCTAGGACTGACTTCCTATGTGGCTGTGGCAG